CGCCGCAACTGCCTCCCCGCTGGCGCCGCCCCCGCCGTCCCAGAACCGAGGACCCAACACCGCAGGATCAGTGGCTGCCTGTGCCGCCTCCCTCCTCTTGTCGCCGAGGCTGCCGAGGGCGTCCAGCCAGCCCTGGCTGGGCGTCTCTGGCCTGCCTAGCCTCCATGAGCTCTTGGCGACCGTGCGGGCGTCGGGCCACCCGCCCGTGTTGAACGCGTCCATCCGGGGCTTGATGGTGCCGCTGCCGCTGTCCCCGGTGGCGGAGGATGCCCTGGGCCTGTGATGGCGAGAGGATGGACCAGCACGTGCCTCTTGAAGTCCCATGGGGGGGCACCGTCTTCGCTGCTGGCTGCAGGTTGGGCGGGTGGCCTCGGCTGCCGTCGCCTCTTTGCCCCGCTGGCTGTGGGCGACTGAGCGGTCCCGCCTCCATCTGGGTTTCCTGCCTGAAGCTGCTGCTGCCGCCGCTGCTGCCGCGACCGCAGCAACCGCTGCTGCTGGCCTCGCCCCGGCGGCTGGGCACCTCCAAGAGGATGTCCGCCGCGTGGTCCCTGATCTTGTGCGCCCGTGTGCGCGCGTGCAGCTTACCCGCGTGGGGCATCGCCGCCTTGGCAAGCTCGTCGAGGCCGAAGGCGAGGTCGAGGCGGTGGTCTTGAAGCGCCATGTGGGCGCCCTTCTTCGCGTAGCGGTCGGCTTGTTGGATGCCTGCTTTCTGCCGCTGGGTGGACCTGCCCGCATCGATGTCGGCCTCCGGAGCGTGGCCGAGCACCGCGGCGACCGCGTGCCCTGTGTCCTCCTCGAGAGCCGCGTCGATGGCCTCCGCCGGTGCGCCCTGCTGAAGGACGACTGGCGGGCCCACGCCCCGCCCCCCCTGGGAGGCGCAGCCCACCGTCCCCTGGCAGTCGGTCTGGGAATCGGCTTGGCCCTCGCAGAGGAAGGCCGCCACGCGGCAGGCGAAGTCCTCCCCGTCGCGCGCCTCCTGCTTGGGCGCCATGGGCAGCGGGGCCCAGCCGTAGGCCGCCGCTTCCACTTGGCGGAAGCGATCGCGCTGCACCAGGGACCAGCCTGCCCGTTGCAGTTCGGGCCGCCCGGTTCCAAGTGCACTGCCGTCTGTGAAAATCAGCCCGCTCAGGAGTCCACTGCTCGACTTGCGGCGCCAGAAGACATGCTTGCCGCTGGGGTCGCCCCGGGAAATGATGTAACTGATCGAGGGGGGGAGAGGCGGGGCGGTGTCGGCGTGCATCTGCGGCCTGTCCGACATCTCGGTTCTCCTGATCGCCGCGTGGGCATCGCACTGGTAGCACCTGTGCCATTAGGTATTTGGCGCCGCCTCGCAGAGGGTGCAGTCCCAGCAAGCCGCTGCTCTCTTCTTGAACTCGGCCTGGCGCAGCGTGGAGCCCGTGATGACCGAGTGCAGGGCTGCCCTTTGGTAGTGTCCCAAGCCCTGCTGGATTCGTGGCCTGGCGAGCTTCCTGAGCGGCCTCCTGCTCAGGTGTCCCGCATGACTAGGGCATTGGGCCCGCATGGCCTTCCTGTCCGACCACCGCTTGGCCGACTCGATCGCCAGCTCATGGGCCAGCGTCTGGGATACCCTCAGGATATCAAACTGCTGCCCGATGTCGGTGGTGATGTGTCTGCTGTCCTGCAGCTCCCACCCTAGCCTGCCCATGGTGGGCACCGCTGCAGCTACTGGGTTCCTGTACTGTACCCATGGCCGTAGGGCCCGCTGCAGCAGGCAGCAGGCCCTTGGCCTTGGTGGTGAGGGAGTCTAGGATGAACTTCGCGGGGCAGCGGTACCAGAAGCTGAATAGAGTAGAGTACATAGCGCAGAATAGAGTCAGTCGGGTAGGGTAGGGTACACTAGGGCAGGGTAAAGCACAGCAGACTACAGTGCGTTTCCGCCCGGCGTCTCCGGACCCAAAGGACTGTCTGTGAAATGTGGTGTCGGCCATAAGGGGTACCAACAAATCCGAAGGCCAAAACGCCCATGCGTTTCCGCCCTGCGTTTCCTGCCCCAAAGGACTGCCTGTGAGATGTGGTGTGTCGGCTATGTGGTAACGAACAAGTCCGAAGGCCAAAACGCCCAGTGCGTTTCCGCACTGCGTCTCCCGACCCAAAAGGACTGCCTGTGAGATGTGGTGTGTCGGCTATGTGGTAACCAACAAGTCCGAAAGCCAAAACGCCCAGTGCGTTTCCGCCCTGCGTCTCCTGACCCAAAGGACTGTGTGTCGGCTATGTGGTAGCCAACAAGTCCGAAGGCCAGAACTGCCAGTGAGATGCGGTGTGTCGGCTATGTGGCAACGACCAAGTCCGAAGGCCAAAACGCCCAGTGCGTTTCCGCCCTACGTCCCCTGACCCAAAGGACTGCCTGTGAGATGTGGTGTGTCGGTTGTGTGGTAACCAACAAGTCCGAAGGCCAAAACTGACAGTAAGATGTGGTGTGTCGGCTATGTGGTAACGAACAAGTCCGAAGGCCCAAACGCGCAGTGCGTTTCCGCCCTGCGACTCCTGACCCAAAGAGCTGTATGTGACTATGTGGTAATCAACAAGTCTGAAGGCCAAAACGCCCAGTGTGTTTCCTGACCCAAAGGATTGCCTGTGAGATGTGGTGCGTCGGCTATGTGGTAACCAACAAGTCTGAAGGCCAAAAGGCCCATGCGTTTCCGCCCTGCGTCTCCTGACCCAAAAGGACTGCTTATGAGATGTGGTGTGGCGGCTATGTGGTAACGAGCAAAACCGAAGGCCAAAACGCCCAGTGCGTTTCCGCCCTGCGTCGCCTGAGAGATGTGGTGTGTCGGATATGCCGTAACCAACAAGTCCGAAGGCCAAAACGCCCATGCGTTTCCGCCCTGCGTCTCCTGACCAAATGAACAGCCTGTGAGGTGTGGTGTGTCGGCTATGTGGTAACCAACCAGTCTGATGGCCAAAACTCCCGTGCGTTTCCGCCCTGCGTCTCCCGACCCAAAAGGACTGCCTGTGAGATGTGGTGTGTCGGCTATGTGGTAACCAACAAGTCCGAAGGCCAAAACTGCAAGTAACATGTGGTGTGTCGGCTATGTGGTAACGAACAAGTCCGAAGGCCAAAACACCCAGTGCGTTTCCGCCCTGCGTCTCCTGACCCAAAGGACTGCCTGTGAGATGTGGTGTGTCGGCTACGTGCCCAACAACAAGTCCGAAGGCCAAAACGCCCATACTTAGGCCGACAGTTTTTTCTTCTTGGGCCCAGAACGACGGCTTGAAGTCTTGAGCAGACGCGTATGAGATAACCTCTGTCGGATCCCATAAAGTTCGCGCGGATTCAAGTGTGGCTTTGGTGTTTGTTTCGGTGGATACGATTTCCGTCCGCGCGGATCTTGTACGGCGGAGCAACTTTTTACCCCGTTTTTAAATGTGTATTATTAAATTAAAACGGAGACACGGAGGAAATCGGATCCGCGGACCCCGGAACCCGCCCGTGTTAAGATTCTACGGTGGAAGGGGGTCGGTCATCAACTTCCAACTCATCATCGCCATTTGCACCTCAAGAGGAAAATCTTTCGTCCTGCGTAAGTCGGGTAGGTGGTAGAGTAGAGTCGGGCATGATAAAGTGCATTAAATCAGGGTAGAGCAGACCAGAGTCGAGTGGAGTGGAGTAAAGTACAGAAGAGTGGAGTAGAGTTAACCCAAATCCAGTCCAGTCTACTACAGTCCACTCCAGTCCACTTCATTCCAGTCTTCATCAGTCTTCTATTTGGAGTCTGCGCTGGCTCGTTTTTATGACCGTGTGTGTCTACGGGGGCATGGGTGAGGGGAGGGAGAAGCAGAAGAGGGGCACCGTGTTCCCAATCTCCTCGGCACTCCTCTCCAGCCTCGGAAGGAAGAGGGAGGGGGGGCGAGGGAGGAGGGAAAGAGGAACGGCATTGGGACGGGGGCTTGAAAGGAAGAAGGGGGAGGCGGAGCGCCAGGAGGGGAAGGAGGGGGGCCACCGGGTGCGCCCGCGGGCCGCTCCGCGCGGCAGCGCCAGGACGCCCCCTCGGCCCTCCGCCGTGGAGTGCGGCGGGGGAGCAGTGGAACCTTGCGCTGTCGACTGGCCTCGGCGCTCCGGCCACCGACCGTGCCCCCGGGCGCGAGGGGGGGCACGGGGCAGGAACGCCTCCCCCCGGGAGACCATACCGGAGGGGCCTGCTTTCCACCACCACCACCAGAAGTGGGAGGGGGAGGGGGGTCCTCCTCCTCCTCCTCCTCCTCCTCCTCCTCCTCCTCCTCCTCCTCCTCCTCCTCCTCCTCCTCCTTCCCCCCATCCATCTTATGGTGGTGGTAATGGAAAATCAGGCCCATCAATACCCTCGGTCGACAAGCGTCGCAGGGGCAGCCGGCGCGTCTGCTCCTCGTGCCCGGTGGACTCGAGCCTCACGACGACCCCCCGCGCCGGCGCGGGCTCTCTTCGCAGCCGCAGGCGATCTGGCAGCCAAGGTCCCGCAGCTGCCGGTGCCAGGGGCTGCGCCTTCCCGGCAGGTCGCGCAGGCCTCGTCGCAGGTGTCATCGATCGCATGGCTGTGGGCGTCCGCGGCGCCCGCCTGCATACATTCCCTGTGTATGGCAGTCCGCCTTGCCTCGCAGTGCCATCTGATGACGCCTTTCCCGGCGGCCTGCTCCAACGCGGAGGGCAGGATCGGCAACTGCACCTGGCTCTGCTGCTGCGTCGCAACCTGGCGCTCCCTTATCTGGTCGATCGTCCCAACCAGCACATGTTGCAAGCCCGTGATCATTCAGGTCCATATTGTTCGAGCCGCATCCACTGGTCCTGAATGGCGTCGCGCTTCCCTGTCACCACAGAGAATCCTCTCGGCCCTGGCATATGTGGCACCGCCACGCTGCGTGCTGGCTTGTGCAGATGCCTGGCTATTATTACGCTCGCAGCTCCCGCAAGACAAAGGTGGCACCATCGCAAGCCTCGGTGTCGCTGACAGGGTTGGCAGTAGTAAGCAGGCCCAGCGCCCCAGCACTCCAGGCGGCGGGCGCGTTCACGCGTCCACGTCTGGCGGCGCCCACTTGTCCGTCAGCTCTGGTCCAGCCGTGCTCGAAGGTCTGCAGGGCGTCGCGGCAGCATCGGAGACATGCCCCTGACGGGCTGCATCCACCCCACGCCCACGCAGGGCGACCAACTCGAGGCCCTCTTCATCGGAGGCTGCGCGCGTCGCAGGGCCGCTCTGTGGAAGGAGAGCTCCACCCAGCAATCAGGGATGCGGCCGGTGGTGATGGGCCTGTTTTCCACCACCACCACCACCACCACCATAAGTTGGAGGGGGAGGGGGTCCTCCTCCTCCTCCTCCTCCTCCTCCTCCTCCTCCTCCTCCTCCTCCTCCTCCTCCTCCTCCTCCTCCTCCTCCCTCCTCCCTCCCCCTCCCCCTCCCCCTTCCCCTCCCCCTCCCCCATCCCCTCCCTCTCCTCCTCCTCCTCCTCCTCCCTCCTCCTCCTCCTCCTCCTCCTCCTCCTCCTCTCCTCCTCCTCCTCCTCCTCCTCCTCCTCCTCCTCCTCCTCCTCCTCCTCCTCCTCCTCCTCTTCCTCTCTCCCACCTTTCGTCCTCCGCGTTTCGACCATCTCACAGAAAAAACTTGCCTTCGCCTCCTTCTCCTCGTCCTCCTCCTGATTTTCCCCCGCGACAAGAACGAGGGGGTCAACAAGAACGAGGACGAGGTCGACGACGACAACGACGACGACGGCGACGACGACGGCAGCGACGACGACGACAACAACTACAACGACAATGACGAATGAAGACGACTTCGAAGTCGCCTTTGAACTCGGGCGCCGCCGACGACGACGACGACGACGACGACGACGACGACGGCGACGACGGCGACGACGACGACGGCAGCGACGACGACGACCTCGACGACGACGACGACGACGACGACGACGACGACGACGACGACGACGACGACGGTCGGCTGCGACGGTCGGCGTCCTGCGCCCCTGGCGGCCCTCGAGCCTCGACCCTTCCGCGCCTCGGCCCTCGAGCCCGAGCCTGGAATCTCGATCCTTCCGCGCCTCGATCCCCCTCCTCGTCCTCCTCCTCCTCCTCCTCCTCCTCCTCCTCCTCCTCGGTCCTCGAGCCCGAGCCTGGAGCCTCGATCCTTCCGCGCCTCGATCCTCGAACCTCGGCGGCGCCGCGCGGCGCCTTGAGGCCGCTGGGCACTGGCGGCAGCCCGGCCGCGTCCAGCGCTGCCACCGCGGCCGCGTCGAGGCTGGCGCGGCCCTGGCCGCCTCCCGGACGCACCGTCCAGCATCGCTCGTCGTCGCCGCCGCCGCCGTCGCCGTCGCCCGTCGCCGCCCACCCACTCCGCACCCGCCTCCTCCTCCTCCTCCTCCTCCTCCTCCTCCTCCTCCTCCTCCCTCCCTCCCTCCCTCCCTCCCTCCCTCCCTCCCTCCCTCCTTCCCGCCTCCACCGCGGCCTGGGCGGGCGACCCCCGCGGCCAGGGCCACGCGGTGGAGCTCTAGCAGGTCGGCCACCAGCGGCACGATGGCGGCCGCGTCGGTCACGGCGTGGTTCACCGACACGTGCAGGTACGCCGCGTCCCCGCTGGCGCTGGCGCGGCGCACCGCGCGACGCCGACGCCGGCGCCAGCGCACGCGATGCCATCCCCGGAGACCGGGGGATCCCTGGAGGCCCCCAAGAGAGAGAGCACCCCCTGAAGTTCCCCGCGGAAATCCCCCGAGGCCCCCCTCAGAGGCAACTGGAGGCCTGGAGGCCTCCGGAAGAACATGGATGCCCCCCCAACGAGAACCCCAGGCTGCCAAAAACCAGACCAGATCCTCGACCCTTCGCCCTGGCGCTGGCGTGTGACAATTAAGCGCCGACGGGCTTGGCGTCGGCCGCGGCTGGGAAAGGCTCGGGACATTGACGCTCGGGGACTGGGACGTAAATAGCGTGTCGCTCTGAAGCGTGGTGGGCCAGAACCGGCGTGACACGCTAAGCTTAGGTCGGGCGTGTCCCCCTACAGGCGTATTTTGGACGAAAAATAAAAATAGTCCAGAAATGCTAACAAAAATCACTTGTCAAGAGTAATCGAAAAATCGGCCCCAGACTATCTTTTGACTATTTTTGGATGTTCCTCCTGTAGAGGGACAGGCCCGAACGCTAAGCCAAAGAGTTCCTGATCGTAACCGATGGAGGGCAGCCCAGCCTTGCGGCGAGCTGGCGTCCGACGAGACCATCCACAGCACAACGCTCGCAGGCTGAAACAAGCGACATCCGCTGGATCGTGGCGACCATTCTCCTTGTCCCCGTTGGCCTCCTCGCCCCCTCTGTGCATATCTTCCCTATCCCTCTTCTCTGGCCAGTGCCCTCATACCCCTCGTCCTCCTCCTCCTCCTCCTCAACCTCATGTTCCCTCCTCGCTCGTTATATTTCTCTGTCTTTGTTCTCACTTTCTCTCTTTCTCTCTTTCTCTCTTTCTCTCTCTCTCTCTCTCTCTCTCTCTTTCTCTCTCTCCCTCTCTCTCTCTCTTTCCCTCTCTATCTCTCTTTATCTTTCTCTTTATATATGTATTATCTCCCTCTCTAGACCTTCGCTTTTAGCGCCGCGTGTCCACCCGCACTCCAACAAGAATGGGCACTAAGCTTCTCCTGCCAGCGCGAACAGCATCGTCGGTACGACCGCTGGCATTCAGCACCTGAGCGGCCAGAAGACACATGTCTCTGTGCCACAATTCTGCCTCCTCAACTTCCCCTGCCCTAACCTCCACCCCTACACCTCCTCCTCCGCCTTCTCCTCCTCCTCCTCCTCCGCCTCCTCCCTCCTCCGCCTCCACCTCCTCCTCCTCCTCCCTCCCATCCCTCCGCCTCCTCCTTCTCCGCCTCCTCCTCCTCCTCCTCCTCCTCCTCCTCCTCATCATCATCCTCATCATCATCATCATCATCATCATCATCATCAGCATCATCACATCACCATCAACCATCACCATCACCATCACCATCACCATCACCATCATCATCATCATCATCATCACATCATCATCATCATCATCATCATCATCATCATCATCATCATCATCATCATCATCATCATCATCATCATCACGCCTCTCCCTCCTCCTCCTCCTCCTCCTCCTCCTCCTCCTCCTCCGCCTCTCCTTCCTCCTCCTCATCTCCTCCTCCTCCTCCTCATCCTCCTCCTCCCCTCCCCCTCCCAAAAACACAGAATCCTGTCCCTCTCACGCCTCCTCACACTCTGCCCCATTTCCCCCCACACCCATCCTTTTCCCTCTCCCTCTCCTCCTCCTCCTTCTCTCCGCCTCCTCCTCCTCCTCCTCCTCTCCTTCTCCTCCTCCTCCTCCTGCCTCCTCCTCCTCCTCTCCCGCCTCCTCCGCCTCCTCCGCCTCCTTCTCCTAATTCTCCTCCTCCTCCTCCTCCTCCTCCCCTCCCTCCTCCTCCTCCTCCGCCCTCTCCTCCTCCTCCTCCTCCTCCTCCTCCTCCTCCTCCTCCTTCTCCTCTTCCTCCTCCTCCAAATTCCTGAAAGGGAATTGCACGGGAATGATCCGATGCTTTTATCCTGCGGCCCAGAAGTCGAACACTCTGCCAATAACATGCTTGAGCCAAACAGCGTCGCTGACGACGACAGCTCGACTTAATTACATCGCTATGCTCCTCACAAAGTCTCAAAGTCATGTTCTAGCACGGCCCCTCAGCGGCCAACATGGCCGGAATAACAAAAGAAAGAAAAAAAGAAGCATAAAAGAAAGAGAATAATATAAAAAAAAAGAAACAAAAGAATACGGGGGGGGGCGAAAAGAAAAAAAAAGAAAAAAAAAAAAACGTAAAGATAAAGGAAAAAAAAAAAAAGAAAAGAAAAAAAAATTAAAAACGGTAAAAAAAACTAGTAGCAAAAAAAAAGTAGAAAAATTGAATAAAAAACAAAAAACAAAAGGAAAAAAAAAAAGAAAAAAATAAAAAGAGGGCGACGGGGGTCGCATTTGCAGCGGACGCAAACACTCCAACAAACCAAAACAAAAAAACAGAATGGGAATTAGTCTAAGCTCAAGTTGAAGGAACGCCGGTCTCCAACCCAGCCGATCGTAGAGGTGCTCATGAGTAAGGGTGCACACTGCACAGGTAGAAGGAAACTAAAAGGTATGGCGTAAACATGCCGGTGCTTCCCAATCGCAGAGCACTTTTTCCACCATCCTGTTTTATGTTTGGTACTCCTCGCTTCAAAGAGAGCCGCCCCGCGTTTCCTCGCTCACTCACTCACTCCTCTCCGCCTCCCCCTCCTCCCTCCTCCACGGTTCGCACGCGTCTCCCCCTCCCAATTACCATACGCTTCGTGGCCCCGGAGGGAGCCCAATCGAAGGTCCCAGTGGCGCAGTCCGCATACGGTTCCCCCACCCAGTACAGCGCTTCGTGACCCCAGAGTTCCAGTGGCGCAGTCCGCATGCGGTTCGCCCACCCAGTACGGCGCTTCGTGGCCCCAGAGGGAGCTCCATCGAAGGTCCCAGTGGCGCAGTCCGCATGCGGTTTCCCCGCTCGTGGCCCCGGAGGGAGCCCCACCGGAGGTCCCAGTGGCGCAATACGCATGCGGTTTCCCCCGCCCAGTCCAACGTGTCGTGGCCCCGGAGGGAGCTCCACCGAAGGTCCCAGTGGCGGAACTCGCATGCGACTCCCCCGCCCAGTACAGCGTTTCGTGGGCCCAGAGGGAGGCCTACGGAAGGTCCAAGTGGCGAAGTCCGCATGCGGTTCCCTCGCCCAGTACAGCGCTTCGTGGCCCCATAGGAAGCTCCACCGAAGATCCCACTGGCGCAGCCCGCATGCGGTTCCCCCGCCCAGTACAGCGCTTCGTGGCCCCGAAGGGAGCTCCATGGAAGACGATACCCACAACTGCGGTACGCACAACTGCATATGGTTGCGTTCTTCGCCAGGCGAATTCAAAGTGCCGCAAAATGCGAGGCTGCGGCAAATTCCACGGAAAAAAAAATGCGAGGCTGCGAGACAGCTGTAACATCTTCAGTAGTAAGTAACGGGTGAGAGTAGGGGAGAAGAAAGGAGAAATCATCGAGTGGTGGTTACAGCGGCTGGCTGACCTGGCTTGCGTGGCAGCCCGACCACCCGGGTTGCGCACTTGCTCCCGGGTGTTGTCAAATCGAAAATGGGGTAACGGTTCATCTCTTCGGCTGCGTCACAGAAGGGTGTTTGACGTGTAAGCCGCATCGTGCTCATCGAGATCTAACCAGCACCCACTGTTGTCCCCCCTCATGCACATAACGTTGTTGTCCACAAGATTGTCGAATCGGCCCATCGCTTCCATGAGCGTGCGGTCTGGGTGACAAAGGTAACTTGGGAACCCAACGTCCATCTCACGCATGCAGAATAATTCCGTGCCCTAGCTCGGATCCGCGATCCACCGTCCTCCTTCAACCCATAAGCCGAAGTCGCGAGCATGCAGCGAAGCCTGCCAGCACAGTGCCTCATCCCGGTGCTTGGAATGGTGGCGCACATGGCCTATTGGGAACGTGTGCTGGCGGTTATCGATAACCTGGTGGTTGCGGGATCACGACGCTTTTAACTCGGTCTGGTACCAGCAGGTGTCCGCGGACGGACGTGGAGCTCTCAGTTCGTCTCTGCTTAGCTGTTCGGGCGTATCATACTTGTCGTGGTAGAAAACGCACCCTCCTGCAAGCTTGATGAAGAAATCGGCGAACTCCTCAGCTGTGAACCTCATGGTAACAGTACCAGTACTTATCTCACCATGGTTGCTTGGTAACTCTGGTTGAGGTAATCATTGTGTTACCAGTCCATAGCATACCAAATCCAAACATAACAAGCAACTAATCCTCCTGCATCTCGGAAGCTTGGATGAACACCTGAGTTTCGGAAACATATTGGTGAGGGCCCTGGCAACAGTGCCGAAGCTCAGTGAACGCTGGATCGAGCTGCCATGGGTTCCATGGGGGGCAAAAGTTCCTGGGCAACTTAGCCTGCAAATAGCTAAACTGAGCAAGCCATGCGCCGTGCGCGGCAAGTCTGCAACCCGACAACTCACCTCTCCAAGCAGGTGGACCCTCCCAAATAAGGTAAGGGCAAATAGGCGCCGCCGTAACGGAACTGGAAACTGCACTGGTAATCCTCACAATCCTCCTGGGAGATAACTTGCCCCGTGGGGTCTGTGAGGTCGCGTTCCGTGTTGTCGTCGGATCAATTGCCGTAGTAACTCCGCCAGAACGAGCGACAAGCCTGGGCGCGCCACTTGCAACAGGAAGGGGCCACGACGAAGTTGGGATCGTACTGCTCGTCGTCCTCGGTTCTAAACGTTTCCGCACAATGCTGAGGGCGCCTGCGTCTGTTAACGATGGCCCTGGCACGAATCTTGGCGAACGTGGCAGAGGAGGAAAGAGGAGGACGAGCAGCAGCAGCAGCAGCAGCAGCAGCAGCAGCAGCAGCAGCAGCAGCAGCAGCAGCAGCAGCAGGGATGCAGCATCCTGGCCGTCCTGGTAGCGGAGCAGGGGGGGGGGGGGGGGGGGCAGAGGGAGGACGAGGAGGGCGGAGGGGGAAGAAGGAGGAAGGAGGAAGCGCCACCAGGAGGAGGCGGAGGCAGGTTGGGGTGGGGTGGGGGACGAGCGGCAGCAGCGGGGAGGAAACCGCGCCCCCGGCGCCAGCACGGCGATGGAGGCTGGCAGCTTGAAGCCGCGGGTCCGCGCGCGCATGAAGGCGGCGTGCCGCATGTCGGCCTCGGGGGGGGGGGCGGGTGGCGGGGGGGCGAGGGGGTCGGGGTGTCCGGGGGCCGAGGGGGCGACGAGGGCGCGAGACGCGAGAGGGGGCGGAGTGGGGGCTGGGGGGCGGAGTGGGGCGCTGGGGGCGCGGGGGGCAGGGATGTCGGGAGGGGGGCGGGGCGCGAGGGGGAGAGGGCAGGCTCGGCGCGCCCGTCTCGGAGCCAGGCCGGGGGCGCCCTCGGCCAGCTTGAGGGCTCCGTGCGTGGGCCTCCGGGGGGGGCGCCCCATATGGGGCCTCCGGAGAGCCCCCAGGGACAGCCATGGGACGTCTTTGGCAGCCCCTGAGACCTCTCGAGGCCCCGCCCAAGAGACTCTCCCCCCCTTTCTCCTCCCATCCCTCCCTCTCCTCCCCTCTCACACACCTACCATCCCCCAGAGGCTATATGTGCATATCCGTACATATATATATATATATACACATATACGTATACATATACATATACATGTACATATACATATGCATATACATATACCTATATATATATACATATACAATTACAAATACATATACATATACACATACAAATACACATACATATACGCATACATATACATATACATATACATATACATATACATATACATATACATATGCATATACATATACATATACATATACACATACATATACATATACATATACATATACATATACATATACATATGCATACATACACATATATATATATATATATACATATATATATGTGTATATATATATATATATATTGCAAGCCCGGGCGGGGGGACCCTACCCCCCCCCAAAAAAACCGGACTCCCGGGATCTGGGGCTTTGGGACCCTCCGGACGGGCCTCGAAGCGGCCCCCCGGTCCTCGCAGGGCGTTTTGCCAAGCCTTCCCAGCACACCTAGGGCGATCAGGGGGGTCATCGGAGACGTCCCAGAGACCCCCGAGACAGCACAAGAGCGCTCCAAGAGTGACCGACGTGACCTCAAGATGGCCCAAGAGGCCTAAAGGACGGGCCCAAAAAGGCCTCCAAGAGCACTCCCAAGAAGGCCCCCAGAGGCAAACATCATTGAATTTCTGAAGGTTTTCGGTGAATTTGGGGGTTCTCTTCTTTTCGGCTTCCCGACGCTCCAAGACGGCGGTCTTCTGGGCGTCCGAAGCCGCCTGGGAGGCTCCAAAATCGCCCCACAACCGTCCGAAAGGGCTTCCAAGCATTCCAAGAGAACCCCAAAACGGCACAACACGGGTTCAAGATGGCCCTCAGAGAGCCCCATGGCAGCCCAAGATGGCCCAAAGACACCCTCCGAAGCATTCCAAATCGTGACCCGGTCGTTCAGGGAGACCGCGCTTGGTGGCAGGGTGGCCCGAGGAAGCCCCCAGAGGCCCCTAGAATACGCCCAGGAGGCCTCCAGAAGGCCTTCTCAAAGCCTGAAACAACTTTTGCGAGGCCCCCAGAGGCTCTCCAAGGAGGAGCCGCCGCAAAAAAGAGCTGAGGAGGATGGGGAGAATGCGCAGGGTATGGCGAAACATAAATAAAAAAAGAAACATGGAGGAAGGATAACAAATAACATTATCATAGCGGCGATGCCGGAAAAGACAACAAAGAGTTATCGCTAAATTGTCGGTTTGACCTTCCTGCTATTCCGCCGACATACCAAACTTCAAGGACCAAGGTGCTGCATGGCGCGAAGCGCCACTGCAGTCTTGTATGTATATATATACACATATGGATTCATATATAAATATATATTCCTGACCACTCTCCGCGCCTCTTCCCAGGGGGCCGGGTGACGTGTGGGGAGACAGCACTAGACAAGACTGGACGTGAAAGGCGAAGCCTGAGCGATGCACAATTTTCACATCAAGCAAGTGCCATGGGCCTCCACGGAGGGTTCTCAAGAGAAAAGGTGAGGGCCAGGCGGAGCGCGCCTGGGCCGAGCACAAACACCAGCGTTAAACCGCCATCACTTTGCCACCCGGAGTGTGGGGGACGGTGGGTGGGCGGCTTCGAGCCAACACATCACCACGGGATCAGACTGCACAGATCAAGAGGCTCCGTTCAAGGAAAAAGAGTCGAACGACAAACTATTCCTGACCACTCTCCGCGCCTCTTCCCAGGGGGCCGGGTGACGTGTGGGGAGACAGCACTAGACAAGACTGGACGTGAAAGGCGAAGCCTGAGCGAAGCACAATTTTCACATCAAGCAAGTGCCATGGGCCTCCACGGAGGGTTCTCAAGAGAAAAGGTGAGGGCCAGGCGGAGCGCGCCTGGGCCGAGCACAAACACCAGCGTTAAACCGCCATCACTTTGCCACACGACCCATACCCATATTTATGTCCTAGGGAGGGCGGGAGGGTCCTCAAAGACAAATCAACTCACTATGGGATGCTCGACGGAAGCGACACGTTTGAGAATGGCAAGCAGAGCACGGTCGTCGAAGCGAGAGGCGAGGGCACGCTGAGCACTGGAAAGCTTTGCAGTTTGCCTCAGGAGCGAGCCATGCTTCTCATAAACGCGAACACTGGAGGCGGCCCGCCACCGGCCTCGAGCCTGTATGGCGCCGAGGTCGCGGACCGCGTGCAGGGCATCGTGGGACGGACCACCGTGTCGGAGCTGGTGGGGCACACTAAGGAGGTCGTGCACCCCAGCTTCGAGGGCACCCTCTCTCAAGACCTTTTCGTACACAGAAAGAGAGAGCGGGGCAAAAAGAAGCGAAGCGGGAGGCGAAAGGCAACGAGCACGAGCCTGAAGCGCAAGCAGCACTCCAGGGCACAGTCGGCGGATCGGAAGTCGAGACCCAGCAACGACTGTGCAATCAAAATCTCGGTTCTTGGCTGGCTTAGATTCCTCGTGTCCAAGCGGGGCGATGATAGCGGCTACTTCTTGGCGCCCTGAGCGCGGCTGGTCAACAATGCGACGATCACCAACAACGTGCGAGACTTCTAAGGCGAGCACTTCGCTCGGGCGCAGGTACATGTCAAACTGAACTAAGATCGCGAGAGCGGCTAAAGCCTGCAGCAGCGAGCCTTTGGCAAGGTGGATGATGAGGAGAAGCACAGCCTCCCAGGGCGGGGGCTGCCGCGGCTTCGCGGGCTGCTTCGCCGCCCAGCCGTCAAGCGCATCCTTGGATCGCTGGAAATGCGGCCGCGCAGCAGACCAGCCTCGGATCTTGCAAAGGCCGTAAAGAGCGTTCTTACCTAGGTAAAGCGGCTCGCCTGCAAAGAAAAGGGCCTCGCAGTGCAGGTTGACAGTGTGGTCAGCCGCCTCTGCGCTGTCCAAGCGCAGCCCTCGCCTAGCGGCAAAGTCCTCGAGCTCGGCCACTGCCGCAGCGTAGGCGTCGCGAGTGGCTGGCCTGAGGCGCGCCAGACGCAGATAGTCGCCGGGCGTCCACGGGGTGTCGGCCAGCGAGGCGTCGGCTCTGGCGACAGCTGCCGCGCGGCGCTGCCGCTTGGCGGTGGCCTCGGCTCGCGGGACTCGCAGCGGCCGTTTCAAGCGCGGGGACGCCGCTCCAGTCTGCTCCGTACAACAAAACAAAAAAAAAAAAACTATGGAAAAAAAAAAAAAAAAAAAAAAGGAAATAAAAGAAATAGAAAGAAAAAAAACACATTAACAAAAAAAAAGAAAGGAAAAAGAAAAAAATGAACCTAAAATGTAAAAAAAGAAGAAAAAACAAAAAAAAAAAAAAAAAAAGGAAGAAAAATAAAAAAAGAAAAAAAAAAAATAAAAAAAACAAAAGAAAAAACAAAAACAAAAAAAGATGAAAAATACAAGAAAGCTCTGCGCCTGCGTCTCGAGCGCGGTCTGGGGTCCAGTGCGCTCGGCCAGGCCGCCCGCCAGGGGAGACGGAACCTGCGCGGGCAGATCGGTGCTGAGCTCGCTGCGGGCTCGCGGGCACCGACCGCGCTCGCCATCGCGTGATCCCACCGCGCCCAGCCCGCGGGCTCTGTGCGGCCCCAGGCGCTGGGCGGGGCATCGCAGCTGGCGATCTGCACGACCGCTCGGCACCAGCTGGGCAGGTAGGCGCCCGCCAGAGTCGTCCGCCACACCCAGCCGCGCACGGGATGCCGCACTTTGCCCTGCAGCACCACGCGATGGCGGCCTTGGCAGGTACAGCGTAGCCCCGCGGCCTCCAGCGCCTCGAACGACCCGGCCAGCGCTCCTGGCTTCTTGAACGGGGCGCCGAACCGGCAGCTGTCGAAGGTGACCTTGGGCCAGCGCAGCCGCCGAAGCTCGCGAGCCAGTGGCGGGTAGTTCCACACCCGACTGTCGCGGGGGTTCTCGAAAGTGACGTGCACCCCTCTCTGGCGACAGATCCGAAGCAGCCGCCGCGTGAAGTCCACGAGGAGGCGGTCGACGGGCCCCGGCTCTCTGCGGCCGCCGGCAGGTACCCAGCGAGTGCAAGGCAGCCCGATGTGAATCCACCAAACGCGGCCTCGCTTGAGCCAAGACTCAACCAGGCGTCGGAGCCCGAGGCATCCCAAGTCGCAGTGAGGACCCCGACGTATGTCGATCGGCGCCAGACATCTGAGCCCAGCCTCGTGAACGGCTCCCGTAAGACGTGCACAGCCCGAGAACACCTCCAAGAAGCCAGGCTTGCGAAGGCGACGGTGGGGAGTACCAGGTGCTCCCACGGGGTCCCCATCATGAGCTCCACGTTGAGGCCACGGCCCATCCAGGCCTGCAGGACAGCTCCTCCGAGTCGGTCCCGTCGGCTTCCGGGGCGACGCTCGGCCCCTAGCTTCCCCTGGACGACGTAGATGTACGTGATCTGGCCCCTCCGGGCCTCCAGGGCAGCAGCGGCCAGCGGCGGCGCGCGGCGGCGTGGGAACATCATGGCCTCGAGGTGCCTCATGACCTGAAGCGGCAGCGGCAGCGGCGTGGGGCCCGTAGGGGACTGCAGCGTCATGAACGAGGACGGTCGGATCCGTAAGGCTCCCCAAGACATCAGACTCGTGACAAGTTGGTAGAGAACAGGAATGTAGAAAAGAAG